TATGTGAGACAAGGCAAGACTGGGTTACTGAGACATGTGAGACAAGGCAAGACTTGGTTACTGAGACATTGAGACAAGATTCTGATGGTCACGCAGAATAACAACGCGCAGTACGCGAGATAAAGATGTAAATAATACATAAAAGATAAATAATAAAAAAATACTAATAAGCGAGATTCAGACGTGAGAAAGTTACGTCAAGGGAGGGATTGCGTTCGGCATAAATTTGCATTCACGCGTGAAAAAATACTTGATCGTTAGGCGTTAGTGAGAGTGTTGGACCTGCAGCTTCAATACCAAACTCAGGGTGGTTAAATTGACTACGTCACGAGTTTGCTATGGTGTATATTTGTAAAAATTTTGTTGCAATTTTTTTACATGAAAAGTAAGTACTTACGGCACGAAATGTATGCTCAAATTCTTACCTGATAAGATTGTTTTTCAACTAGTTAAAAATCCAAAAAATCTGGGCGATCTGATATATTGATCACGACATTAAATGCTCGCTATGGGCTATGTATGAGTCACGAGTGTATGTTTACAACGAACGGAATAGCAGAATAGGAAGTATAATGCAGCAATTTAACCATAAAAAGCGAACAGAATCACTTTACATTTTGTGAAAAAGTGGACATATTTTGTTTACTTTTACTATTTACGGTGACGTAATCACTTTCATTACCAAAATCAGGGTGGTTAAGAACACGGATAACCCTGACGTAGGTCCAACTCACCAATTCGCCAACATAAAGTCGGTAGTGTAAACCCAGCTTTACAGCGACACGCCTCCTACCACCGAGAAAGCTTACCGTTGCGGTTGTGCTGTCGGGCGGCGTGCGACAGCTGGTACTGAGGCTGCGGCACACTTGCGGCGGCGGTGTAGCGCACCGTGGGCAGTGTAGCTGCGGGCTGCTTGAACGGGCCCTTGTGCATCTTCTTCATGTAGCAGGCGAGCAGCGTGACCGCTCCCAGCAGCACGATGACCACAGCCTGAAACCAGTCGATAACCTCATACAGACGCATGCAGGCAGGCATGCAGGCAGGCAGGCAGGCAGGCAGGCAGGCAGGCAGGCAGGCAGGCAGGCAGGCATGCAGACAGGTAGGCAGGCAGGCATGCAGGCATGCAGGCAGGCAGGCAGGCAGGCAGGCAGGCAGGCAGGCAGGCAGGCAGGCAGGCAGGCAGGCATGCAGGCATGCAGGCAGGCAGGCATGCAGACAGGTAGGCAGGCAGGCAGGCATGCAGGCAAGCAGGAAAGCAGGCATGCAGGCACGCAGGCAGGCAGGCAGGAAGGAAGGAAGGCAGTCGGGCAGGCAGGCAGGCAGGCAGGAAAGCAGTCGGGCAGAAAGGTAGGCAGGTAGGCAGGCAGGCAGGTAGGCAGGCAGGCAGGCAGGCAGGCAGGCAGGCAGGGAGGCAGGCAGGCAGGCAGGCAAGCAGGTATGCATGTATGCAGGTAGGCTGAGAGGAAGATGACAGTATGAACTCGGATGGTCATGTAAGAAAGGTTTGACAGGTTGGGGCCGATGACTGCCTCAGTGAAATAGCTGGTGTCGTGCAGACATACATACATACACTGATACACGCACGC